TACTTCTGTAAATTATCTGTCGAGCGGGAACAGTATTCAAATTGAATTCTTACGATGTTGGCCTTATAACTGAGAGGCCTGAATGGTGTGAGGTAATTAGGTGGTTTATGTTGTCTCCCACCTTTGACCGAAATATTTGCCATTCGTGCTTATGGCATCGTGAACTGATTCACCGCGGGTGCCTGCACCACATACGCTCGCACGGGTGCACCTCATGCTAATTTACTGTATTATGGTATCGGCTCGCTCCAGCCAATTAAATGTCAGTGTTGAACTGCGCGCACCGATTGATCGGTAAACTGCATAACCTCCCTGCTTGATCAGATTCTGATGTATCGTAACACCCACGTTGTTGGTCCGTCTGCCTGTCTGTCTGCCTTCCTGCCTGCCTGCCTGACTGGTTGATTGACCGACTGAATGACTGATTGACTGACTGACTGACTGACTGACTGACTGACTGACTGACTGACTGACTGACTGACTGACTGACTGACTGAATTATAGCAGTAATAATCGATTCGGACCATGAAAAAGTACCCAAATTTACCCTTTTCATAATCTCCATTACAATCCATGAGGATCCAACGAGTGTTGCATTTGCATTCCGGCGTTTTAAACAGCCATGTAAAAAAGAGAAACCACAAATTGAGCATTGTTTCGGCGGACAGCGGGTGGCACCGGTTCGCCACATCGCTTGATTTGCATTATTTCGATCAATCCGGCAGAAGAGATCAACTGGCTAATGCGTTTCTGGCGCCATAAGCAATACAAAATGAAGGTGGTAGTGAAGCTCACATACTAGGTATCTAACTCCCCTATCGACAAGCCAACTAGCATCCATCGTGTGGATGAATATGTGAATGGATACAAAGCAGAGCATATCGTGTTGGCAGCTCCGGTTGGAAATGCAGTTCTTGTAAAACCATTAAGCATATTCCCTGGTTTTGGTGGCAATATTCTGGCAACTCATTGCGAGAACCAATGGCAAAGCTGATACAACGGGGTAACAAGCTGTGAAAGCAAGTAACATGAGTAAATCAGATGCTTTAGGAAAGTGATTACATGCAGGAGTATCACGGTTTACAACAATTCATCGCATATCACCTAATGCGCCCAATCATCAACTCCTCTAATCATGAAAATCTCCAAACTGGAATCTTAATAACTTAAAGCTTGAGCATAACTTGCTAAAAATTCAATAAAAATGAAAAAAAAAATTACCAAGTTCATTAATCCAACTACCCACACTTCCACTCGAGGGTCTGATCTGGTCACGCTTGTCTCACAGCACACCAAGCTTTACATAATTTAGGATCACGGAGGACACTTTAAGTATGGATTCATTTGTTGACTATACCATTTCAAGATAGCTTTGAGAAACTATAATTTTCATTTGCGAAACCGTCAGTTGGAATTGAGAAACCATCACTTAGATTTGAGAAAGAAATGCTGTGGTTGGATCCGCTTCCGTTCAGCGCACCTCATTGGTCAATTGATCATACATTTTTTCTACCCCCGGATCGACCACCTGTCTTCCCACGCTCTTTCTGTGCTGAAATGAGGCAGACCTCAGTCGTGCATCTTGTCGAGCTCTGTGACGGACGTCGAGTCGGTGGGTCGGTGAAGCCATGCTTGTGACAACCAAGTGGGACACTACTCGATATGCACGAAGGATGGCGCACTGTGTCGTGCCCACTACAGCTCTGCCATTGACTCAATAATCAAAGCTGGTCACAGTAACTACGACCAGGGTAGGGTTTTGGGCTTACCGTGCAATCCGAGCTATGTACGAGAATCAGGGGTCTATTGGAATAACAATATTGGTTCAGTGACAGAGGTTGGAGTTCTTGAGGTGAACATGGGTGAATGAACTGGCTG